TTCGAGCCTCCACCAAAGTTTCCCCTGGCTTCACCCTATTCAGGCATAGTTCACCATCTTTCGGGTCCTAGCAGATATGCTCTTACTCAAATCTATCAAAAAATATCCTGATCGGTTGATGATGCACCATTCAAATGGTTCTCACCTAATCACTTTCATTACGCGTATGAGGTTACATACTCAAACACTTGCATATATGTTAGACTCCTTGGTCCGTGTTTCAAGACGGGTCGTTTAAAGTCATTACGTCAACATCCTTAATGAATATAATCCGTTCCAACCTTTTGATCTGTAAACCTTAATATCATAAGCAACGCTTTTGATACTAAGATAACGTCTCAGAGATCAGACGAAGAGCCTAAGATGAATAGGTATCCATTGCAATCCTCGGTCTTGATCATTATATCTGCCAAAGGCTATAACACCTCGATCGAAATCAAAGTTACATTCCTTTAACCATTTTCTAATGATTAAAACCGATGTTGACCTACCACTTGAAAAAATTCGCACATAAAAAGTTATTAAATTTGCAAACCATAAATGACCACAAATTCAACAATATTTCAAATGTTGATTTTTCAAAGGTATGACTGACTTTAATCGTTTTCTTTCCAACAATTTCACGTACTGTTTAACTCTCTTTTCAAAGTTCTTTTCATCTTTCCCTCACGGTACTTGTTCGCTATCGGTCTCTCGCCAATATTTAGCCTTAGGAGAAATTTACCTCCCATTTTGAGCTGCAATCCCAAACAACTCGACTCTTGGAAAACGTATCGTAAAGCATCCTTAAGACTAACCATGAACGGGATTCTCACCCTCCATGATACCTTATTCCAAAGGATTTAGGCTAATCCAGGACGCAGAAAACGTTTCTTCAAAATACAACTCTGTTAAGGTAAAAACCCAACAGATTTAAAATTTGAGCTCATCCCACTTCACTCGCCGTTACTGAGGGAATCATTGTTATTTTCTTTTCCTCCGCTTATTGATATGCTTAAGTCCAGCGGGTAGTCTTGCCTGATTTGAGGTTAAGTTGATAATTATGTATACCCCATAAAAGGAAAAGTATTACATGGTTAAGAAAAGGATCTTACAGGTGTATTTTTTTTAGTCACAGATAATGATCAGGGATATCTATAAATACCAAATACAGTTATAATCATTTCCTTAATTTAAAGCCACTACTATCACAATAGATAGCTCAATTCCTACATATTTTTAATGTAGATAATTTTTTATTACACTCAAACAGGCATACCCTCCGGATTACCAAAGGGTGCAAGTTGCGTTCAAAAATTCGATGATTCACAGATTGCAAGTCACATCACTTATCGCATTTCGCTGCGTTCTTCATCGGTGCGAGAGCCAAGAGATCCATTGTTGAAAGTGATCTTTATTTTTATTAATTGATATGGTTAAATGATAAATTTTAAGAATTTTATGTTAAATAAAGGTATGAATCATGCAAATCCATCCCAAAATTATGCTGCTGCCTTCCTTGAATGTGGTAGCTTTTCTCAAGCTCCTCTCCGGTGTTAGCCCAACACCCGTTACCCGTTATCACCATGGTAGGCCTCTATCCTACCATCAAAAGTTTGATAGGGCAGAAATTTGAATGATTCATCGTCGACGTTAAAGCCATACGATTTGAAAAGTTATACAAAGTTATCATGAATCACCAACCATCGTTTGCGACGTTGGTTTATTATCTAATAAATACATCCCTTCCAAAAGGTCGGGATTTTAGCATGTATTAGCTCTAGAATTACCACGGTTATCCAAGTAGTAATTGTACCATCAAATAAATTATAACTGATTTAATGAGCCATTCGCAGTTTCACTTTGGATCTTTGGATCAATCTTTGATTTTTTTTAGATAATAGTTACTTATTGGTTATAAATACAAATATACATATTATTCATCATCAAATAGATTCATATAATAATGAATAAAAATGTCAACTGATTTTTTAACGTAGCCTTACCCGAGAAATAATACCAATTTCTCTTTGACGAATAATGACTGCTTAAAAGTGCTTTACTTTTACAAAAATGATAGTTGAATTATTTACGAATTGGCTTTATTTCCACTTAAAACCTTATTTTTCCTATTCGAAAAATGCATGCCGGGTTGATCGGACAAATCATGGTTGGTTTTGATCACGTTGTTGACGTCAAAAATTTAAGCTTTTCGAAGTTTTTTTGAAAAGCAATTTTGTATCAGAATTTCTCTTCTAATAAAATTCTACTAAAAAATTAACTATTGATTATAAAAGGTTCGGTAATAACAATGTTACTATATTCTTTCTTTGCATAGATTTTCTGAGAAGGATTCATATATTACATTATTTTTTTCACATTGACGTGAAAAATTGCAATAGTTTTCCGAATATTTTCCTGTAAATATTACAAAAATACATTTATATAATGAGTCATACTTCATGAGAAATTTCTGAATACTTCACTACCTTTCACTACCTTTCGTGACTTTTTTGAAGTTATTCGTAGAATAACTTTCAAAACAAGTTTTGACGTCATTTGTTGTTTGAATAGTACAGTATTTCATGCTCACCAAAGGAAATATTTTTAACGAATATTATTTTCATCCACGTTTCTTTCGAATAATGTTTATTAACAAAGAAAACTGTTCTAAATCTTTCACCAAAGCTTATGGTTTATTCCCACAGGGGACAAGGTAAAGCAGCGTCATTTAAGATTAAAAACGATGATATTAAGATGAATTATTTCCTACTTTTTAAACCACTCTCTCGAACTTCTTTCACAAAATACTCCCAGCTCCAGCTCCCACTTCCAACAAAATCATAGTCTTTGACATTATAGAACCTTAACGCGAAATATCCGTGCACGGAAACAGGAAAAGGAAAAGGGTATTTAGCAAAATAATATTCCAAATTTTTAAAGGAATGGCTAAGCCAGCGTTATAGATAAGCGTGTGATCTTTAAAGTTTTCGTGAAAATATCCATCCGTTTCGAGTAAGTCATCAAGATAATTCATGAATATTATTCTCGCATCTTTTTTGGCGGCAAAGTAAGATAAAACTAATTGATTATTGACTTTAAGTTGACCCAATCTTCATTTGGTCATCATTGGTTCCATTTTTTCCGCTAACAGACAACGTTACTCTCGAACCTTGTCAACATCTTTGGGTCAAGGTTTAATTTTGCTGAATTTTAACCAATAGTGAAAATTATATTTTTTACTGTGTATATTGTTGAGACAGGATGTTCAAAGAATTATCTATATGGATTATAACTCGAGCTGACGATGAGAACTAGATGTTACTACAACGAAGCTATCGTGAAGATGTATCAATAATTTTCAGAAACCGGATATGGACATCTAATGAGATACGATTTGAAAACAGTAGCATGATCTATATATATGTATGATACCTTAGCGCTAAAAGATGTTAATATGTATGGACGAACATATCTAATAAGAATGTTAACTCCGTTGTGTATTCTCAGTCGCCTCCGCAAAGAAAAAAGACGAACGTTTAAAAAAACATAATAAGCGAGGTAACGCAACTTTACATTTATTAAAAATTATACCGATTGATTTAGTTTTTTTTTAATTAAATAAACTAACAAATATTGCCGTATTGCAAATTCAGTAGGTCTTCTTTATTAGATCTATCCTTGGATCGCAAAGTACTATAGAGTAATGTTAATTTTATACATTTTAAATTGAAGAATTAAAAGTTTATTTATCTTTTTAATTATATCGGAGGTTTTAATTCTTTGGATCGGGTAAATTCTACCTATAGAGGAGTGTTAATTTTTTTTAAAAAAATTAAAATCAAATGCTTACTTTTTGTAGAGATCGAAAAGGGTCTTTAATTATTAAAACGGAGGCAATTTCCTATAGAAGGAGTCATAGTTTTTTGTTTATTAAATTGATCAAGATCATCTTTTTGTTTTTATCGGAGGTCATCAATCAGGAGGTTCCGGAGGTTAAATCAGGGTAAGTGCATATAGATGAAGAGTTGGATTGTTTTTTAAAAGATAAAAATACTTACGCTTCCGTTGTTCTTTTTTTTAACTACTTTTAGCTTTGATATTATCATGTGATCGTTTTGGGCCGAAAATTTTCTAAAAAAAAATCTTGTGTCCTTTAAATTCTTTATTTTACGGTTGTTGCTAATATAAGATTAGATTAAATTTTTTTTTATTTTTTAATTTTTTTTTTAATAACAGGTTCAGTCGTTTCTGAATACAAATTGGAATTTGGTTTTGGGTTGGTTGTTTTTTTTTCCGCTTTCGATAACCTTTGGGCTGCAATGATGCTTTTTTTTTAGTATGATTTTTTCTATTTTGACTGTTTATTTTATTTTATTTTATAGATAATTATTTTATTAATTGGTTTTTTATTTTCTTTTAGAAGATTTTTTCATTAGACTCTTTCGTTGGTTCGCAAGCAAAATATAAACAGTGGGGACGGCGGTGAATGAATTACATATTTTAAAAAAACTTAATCATTTAAGAAGGATATATTTTATAATGGATCAATTTGCGTTATTTACAGAATTAACGAAGAAAAAGATACAAGGTTTATTAAAATACAAAAAAAAAAAACTATTACTACATATCAAATTCCTTTTTCTAAAACAAAGACAAAAATTAAGCCTTTTTATAAACCTCCACAAAATGTCATGAAATGCAGCATTCGGTTGGAATTATTGTAATGGCGTTCATTGAGTGAGACTAATAACCGGTAAAAATGGAAAATAAAATCACGGGATCTTTCTTATATTTTCGGGAACTTCCTCTAAGATAACGCAGATGTAAAATGCAGTGTTTTTTTGAAAGATTCGTCAAATTTCAACTCTAAATACTAAAAATTATTTGACTACACTACATTGTCGTAAGGTCAATTATATATGATAAAAATAGCCATTCTATTAAGTAGTTTCAAGTTCTAATTACTGCGCCTCTTGTATATTTACATATAAAATATCATGTTTGGCGCAGCTCTTAATTTACGCCAGAAAACTGTTTTGTACAAAAAATTCGAGTATAATTATACTTTTAACATTTAATTAATTGAGAATTTCGCGGTATGATATATATATTGATATATCTAATGTGGAAATTTATTTTACGCTTCTGAAAAACTTTATTGACACTCGAATCTAGTTTTGTTAATTTATTAACTGTGGTATCTAAAGTTAATGTTTAACTATGATTTTAATACTACATATGACCTTAACGATCGAACTGGTAATATTCTCTATTCCTCAAATAAAATTACTTATTTTAGGCATGGATAAATATACCTTTTTTGTATTATTGTCCAAATGTAAACTCAATTCCATAGCTTGAACAGCCAATCAGATTTCAAAATCAGCGGATCAGGTAGTGCCGAAGGAATATTCGGGTCAGCTTTTACATAACCCGACCCGACTATAGTTAAACCCGTTTTTTATGAATTATTTATCGTATAGTATAAATCATTTTTCAATGCTAGTTAATGCATCGAAAAATAATTCCATTTTAACTTCAAAACCTTGATTTTAACACGCACGAATTGTATATTATGCTTAAAGCATCAATGTTTGCTCCATCATAAAAAAAACTCGCATTGCTGGCATGATTTTCATCACCAATATTTATGAAGCCAAGTTTTATTTCTAAATAATTTTATTTTTAAAAAAGTAAATAATAATATCTAATTCAAAAATATTTACGGACAGTAAAGCATTTTACTATTCGATGAATTTTGGCATATTTATGTCAAATTTAAATTTCTTGTGTAGTACAATTTAGAATACATACTCAT